TAAGGTTATCTAAGTTTTGGTCAATTTTATTTAATTTTTCAAAGAACCAACTCTTCAATTCACTGATTCTTTGTATTGTTTTCTTAGTCTCCACTGTATTAATTTCTGCTCTGATCTTTATAATTTCCTGCCTCATACAAGCTTTGGGCTTGACTTGGTCTTTTTTTAAAAGAGAAAAAAAAATTTTAAAACAACACAATAACAACAATGACTTGCTCCTTTTTATTTTTTATTTTTTGGCAGTGGGAATCAAACTCAGGACCTTGCACTTGCTAGGCAGGTGCTTGTGCCACTGAGCTATATCCCCAGCCCCACTCTTTTTTTCTAGAAGCCTGAGGTTCAACATTAGGTTCTTTATTTGAGCTCTCTCTATTTTTCTGATATGAGAATTCACTGTTATGAATTTCCCTTGTAGGACTGCTTTCACGGTATCCCATAAGATCTGCTATGTTGTACTGATGTTATCTTTTAATTGTAGAAACTGTCTAATTACTTTTCGTCTGTGACTCATTGGTTGTTCAATGAGTGTTATTTAATTTCTATGTGTCTATAAAATTTTTGTGGTTTCTTTTGCCATTGATTTCCAGTTTCATTGCACTGTGGTCTGATAATATGCATGCGATAATTTGAATTCCTTTGCATTTACTTAAGCATATTCTATGACCTAATTGTGTCTATTTTCGAGAGCATCCCATGTGCAGCTGAGAAGAATGTATATTTTGATGTTATGGAGTAGAACACTCTATACATTTAGTAAGTCCATTTGTTCAAAAGTTTGGTTGATTTCTGTTTATCAGCCTTTGTTAATTTATTGATCTATTTGATCTGTTTGTTTGTGACAGTGGTGCATTGAGATCCCCCATTACAATTGTATGAGTATTTATTTGATCTGTCATGTCTGTTAATGATTGTTTTATATAGCTGGGAGCACTAATATTTGGTGCATATACTTATGATTGTTAGCTCTTCCTCTTGGAGTTTTTCCTTAACAAGTATGTAGTGACCTTCTTTGTCTCTCTTGATCAGGCTTGACTTTACATCCACTTTGTTTGCAAATGGAATGGCTACTTTTGCTTTTATCCCCTTTTCTATCACATGGAGTATTGTTTTCTATCCTTTGACTTTCAGTCTATGAATTTCTTTTTGAATTAGGTATGTTTCTTGTATGGAGCATGTTGCTAGATCTTGCTTCTAGATCCATTCTGCCAGTCTGTTTCTTTTGATTGGTGAAGTGAGACCATTAACATTGATGCTTATAACTGATATGTATTGATCTATCCTTGCCATGTTTAAGTGCTTGCCTTGCTGGGTTGATTTATAATGTTGGAGTTTGTGGACTTGTAGTCTTCATTATCTCTTTCTATAATATCATTATCGTCCAGAACATTTCAGAGTGTTGGCAATGAATGTCTTCAAGTGTTCTTTGCTATGAAAATATCTTATTTCTTCATCAATTTTTGAAAGATAGCTCTGTGGGGTACATAAGTCTGGCTCCAAGCTCTCCTTAAGGGTTTGTGTTGAGAGGTCTGCTGTATTTTGATGGGCTTTCCTTGATACATGATTTGTTTCTTTTTTCTAACAGCTTTTAATATTTTGTCCTTATGGTGAATTTCTGAAATCTTGACTGTTATATACCTTAGTGTAGATTTTTAAAATCATGGCTAATTGGATTTCTGTATGCCTCACCTTCCTGTAAGTCAAATTCTTTTTTCATGCTTGGAAAGTTTTCTTCCATTTCTTCTGTGAACAAATTTTTCATGTCACGAGCACTATCTCCTGCTTTTTCATTGACTCTGATCAGTCTTACCGTATTGCCTTTGCATCCTCTAGCACCTGTTGGATTGTTTTTTGTGGTCCCTTCCTAAAGAAATCTTACTTTTCATGATCACAAACCACAAACATATCTTGTAGATCTGATATTTTGTCTTCGTGTTGATTCATTCTGCTGTATGTACTTTCAGTAGAATTTTTATTCTGATCTGAATCTGTTTCATGGATTCCATCTCTATCCTAGGTTGAGCATTCATGGTTTTCATCATTTTCCTACACTCCTCTATTTTGCTATTTATATCTATTCTAGATTCACTAACCATGTCCTTCAGTATGATCATCATCTCTTCAGTTATCTGTGAAATAATTTCTGATTTCATTTTTTTCTAGAGCCTCATTCATCTGCTTTGTTACTTCAGCTGTTACCACTTCAGAAAGTCGAGGTGAACTGTTCCACCTCATTGGCCTCTAGGTTTGCCTTTGGCAAGATAGAAGTCTGGGGTTGCATCTTGCTTCCATATCTTCTCAGTCTGTATTATTTTTAATTTCTCCATTGATGTTTATAAGTTGCTTATGATTGGTAGCTTTATTGATAGTATTGAGAACACTTAAAAAGTGACTACTTCTCAGAGATGTCTTCAAGGTATAGCTGACTTTTGGGTTTTAGATCTGCTGCAAGGTCCTGCCTCTTCAATTTATTGGGGATGAGAAGTTACTGTAATATTATGAAAAATTATGTGCCAATAAATTGCAAAATCTATAAGAAATGGGTAAGTTTCTTGATGTGTATTGCATACTAAAATTGAATCTATAGCATATAAAAACTTAGATTAATAAGAAGCAATGAAGTTGAAGCAGTAATAAGAAGTCTCCCAACAAAGTGAACCCATGGACAGGATGGACTCTGTGCTGAACCAGATCTTCAAAAAACCAATGCTCCTCAAACTATTTCATGATATAGAAAGGGAAGGAATGATTCCAAATTTATTCTTTGAACCCAGTATCATCACTCTGATACCAAAACCAGATAAAGACTCAGCAGAAAACCATAGACCAATGTCCTTAATAAGTAGAGATGCAAAAATCCTATCACTGCAAACAATTCAGCAGCGCAGTAAAAAGGTCAAAAACCATTCTCCACTTGGTTTCATCCCAGGATTGTAATAATAGCTCAACATTCACAAATCAATAAATGTAATACACTATATAAACAGAATCAAAGACAAAACCACAAGATCATCTGAATACATCTTCTCTAAATTTGAGACAAGAGTCTCACTATCACAACTTCTATTCAATGCCATCCTTGAAATTTTAGCCAGAGCAATTAAGCAAGACAGAAAAATAAGAAGAATACAGTTGGAATCAGGCATGGTGACACACTTTAATCCCAGCACTCTGGGAAGCTGAGTCAGAAGGGTTGTGAGTTTAAGCCAAACCTGAACAACTTAACAAAACTCAGTCTCAAATTTTTTGAAACTTTTTTTAATGAACTGAGGATATAGTTCAGTGTAAAAGCAAAGACACAATAGAAAAGGAACAAGTCAAACTACCCCTATTTGCAGATGATGTGATCATTTTCTTAGAATAACCTAAAAATTCCACCAAAAGACATAGATCTGAAAAACGAATCCAACAAAGTGGTAGGATAGAATATAACATACAAAAATAAATCGCTTTTCATTATTATACCAATAATGACCTCACTGAGAAAGACAATAGGAAAACAATTGCATTTATAGTAGTCTCAAAAAATACCTAGGAATCAACCTAACCAAGGAGGTGAAGGATCTCTTCAATGAAAATTACAGAACACTGAAAAAGTAAATTGACAATGATGCTAGAAGATGGAAAGACTTACCATGTTCAAGAATCTGAAGAATTAACATTATTGAAATGGCCATATTACCAAAAGTAATACACAGGAAAATTGATGCCAGGAAGCAGAAAGTAAAGGAAAGAGCCAGGGGAGGAGGAATATGCTTCCAGGTCACACACACCCCCAATAACCTTCCCCTTCTAATCAGGCTCAACCTCCTAACAGCAAGTTAGCTATAACACTCTCATGTCCCAATCACCTTACAAAAGCTAAACCTCTGAATACATTAAGACTCGGTGGGATATTCTGGATGTAAACCATAACCTCTTCCCCCACCCCCCAAAACACTCATGTGCATCTCATTATGTAGAATGCACTTGGTCCATCTCTAGGAGTCACCAAAGTTTTAACTGTTTAAGCATTGCTGAGAAGTCCAAGTCCAAAATCTCCGCCTTGACTCAAGACAAGCTCTTAGCTCTGAGGCCCATAAAAATCAAACAGAATGCTAAACACTCCAATGTACAATGCCACAGGGTAAGCATTCCCATTACAAAAAAATACAAACAGGGAGATAGGAGAAAAAAGTTGGTTGAAAACAAGCCAAAAATCCTACAGGGAAAACATTAAATACTATAGCTCTGTGTTCAGCTCCCAGGGCAAGCTGTGGTGAGATATAAACTCACAAAGGGCTTGGGCAGCCTCAGAACCACATCATTGCTAGGTGCAGCCCCTCATGGCCTCTCTCTTGAGTTGGCTGTGCTCACTTCCTGCAGCTTTCCTCAGACATGTTTAGCTTTCTAGAGTCTCCCACTGCACTTCTGACCACACTCACAGCTTTACACATCGCCCTCTCAGGAGCACACTATCTGCCACCTGAGGCATTCCTCTGAAATCTGGGTGGAAGCCTCCCTGACCCCACAACACTTGCATTCTGCATGTCTGTAAAAACATCACCATGTGGATGATACCAAGGTCTGCCACCAGCTTGAGCCAGGGAGAGAGATAGACCTTTCCAGTTCATGCCCTCCAGTGACCCTCCTCCTGACAGCAAGTCAGCTGTAGCACTCTTATAACCCAGTCACCTCACAAAAACCCAGTCTTTGGACACATGAGTCCTTTGGAGGATATTCTAGATCTAAACTATGACATCCACATTAAGAATTTCCTCCTGGATTGGGGGTGTAACTCAGTAGAGTGCTTGCCTAGCATGTATAAAACCTTAGGTTCAAACTCAACCCCACCAAAAAAAGACAAGAAAAAGAATTTTCCTTGTCTAATTTTGAACCTTTGAGTAGGCATGGAAAATATGGGAGTATAAATTTAAAAGGTAAGTTTTTTTTAATCTGCTTAGTCTTCTATTCTTTGACTATTATATTATTGTCTTTGACTTTAAATATGCTTTATTTTACAGATGATGGAAAAGTATATAAAAATATATTGCTTGATAATATAAAAACATCTCCTGGTAAGTGAGATTCCCAATATGAAGGCAAGTAAAACTAAGATCATTGGCTCTATCTTAACTTTTTAAAAGCCTTATTATTATACAGTGATTAAATTACTTTATTATATCATTAGTCTATAGGTCTTTTAGATGCAATGATAACTAATGTGATAATATATAGTTCTCTGACACAAAAAAAGCTTCTAATTCTGTTTGCTATCAAGAGCTCTAGTTATTTCCTAATGTAACTCATCCCGCTTAAAACACATACATGCAACTTGTAATATATAAAAGTGTATATGGTGGTGCATGCCTGGAATTCCAGAACTGAGGAAGACTGAGATAAGAGGGTAGCAATTTAGAGTTCAACCTGGACCACTTAATGAGACCTTGTTTAAAAAATAAATCTGGGGATGTAGTTCAACAGTAGAACGTCTCTGGGTTCAACCCTCAGTACTGAAAAAATATCATTAATGCTGTACGTAAAATTTTATATAATTTATATGCAGTTGACTTTCATCTAGGTGATCCTTCTCTGCAACTATAGGAAGCATCCCCTGAAACAAGTTTATCAGAATGTATTATATTTCTAGATTCCACAATAATAAATCTCTCTGCATCCCTGAAGTGTTTTTTCTTTTCAAACCATCATTAGGAATGGATTTGTTCCTTCTGATTGAAATCAGCACATGAATGTAACCAGTATTTTTTTCTTAGCTCTCAGTTGCTATTTTTATCACTTTCTTTCTTCCTAAGTTGGGAAATTCCATGTCTCTAAAATGAATGCCATCCTAGAAGATATGGATTATGAACTAGAGGATGAAGAGGTTGAGGACCTGAGGAACCACCTGCCAACTGCTGGTGAGCATGTCATTGTGCCTTCGGGGAAACTAAGCTCCTCTAATAAAACTTCCAAATATATTAAAACAAAAAAACCTACTTCTTAGATTACAAAAAGCAATGAGTCCTACCTACAAGGCCAAACTCTAAGAAAGACTTACTCCAAGGCCAGACTTAAGAAAAAGGTAGAAAAATGAAACAAAGTAATATTCTAAAAGGAAAATAAATTCAGAGAAGAAATTAAACATCAATCAGAAAAAATTAAAATTCTTTAAATGACCTTAAAGTTTAGGAAAGAAAATATGTCTAATAATCCTGACTTTTTTTAAATTCACAAGTACAGTTGTATATCTTGTATAATACAATGTTCTTTTTGGCTTTTGTTTTTTGTTTTTTTTCAGTGCTAAGCATTAAACCCAGGATCTCGCACACACTAGGCAAAGAGTCTACCTCTAAGCTACACCTCCCAGCCTGACATATTTTTAAAGAACAAATACATTGCAGAACAGTTAGATCTAGCTAATTAACAGATAATTGTCTCCAGGTTATCATTTTCTGGTGATTACACATAACACCTACTCTTTGTATGTCTCAAGATTACAATAAATCATCATTATAGTCACTTTGATATGCAATTGATTTCTTGAAATTTATTCCTTCTATGTAATAATAATCATGTATGGTGTGACCAAAATATCTCCCTATTCCATTCCCATAATCACTCCAGCCTCTGGTAGCCGCCATTTTTCTCTCCACTTCCATGACATCAGCTTTTTCAGAGCTCACATGTTGACATCGTGCAGTATTCATCCTTCTGAACTTGACTTGCTTCAGGTCACATAACATCCTCCTGTTACCACAGGTGGCAGGATTTCATTGGAAAGGACAAAACCAAGGCAGTACCAAAGGACCTGGATAAGTACAGAAACTAATTAACAGTTTCATCAAAGCAGAGAAACTAGATAAATCACCGTACATCACACTTTTCCAAATTCACAGCCTCAAGAAAAGATGGTGAAGCCCAGTTTAACCACGTGCCCGAGCGGCTAGATAGTGGAGGCATGTTACTGTTGGAATTCACACCTTTCCCCCAAAAGGAAAGCACTATTACCAAGTGAAGTAGGAATACATGCCAAATGCAGTGCATATGTATAGGGCATTCCTTTTTAGTTATATCATCCTCAACTCTCAGCCAGGGAATACCACATGTTATTTTGATTTTATAAAAAATAGCAGGTTAGTTTTTTTAAAAATCAGGGATAAAGAGAATGTAACCTTGTCTCTGGTAGCAACGTAGTAACTGACCTGGACATTACAATCCATTGTTTAGGGATGAAATTATGAATGATATATTGATTTAAAAGCCAATTCTTGGGGGCTGGGGATTTAGCTCAGCGGCACAGCGCCTGCCTGGCAAGCCTGATGTCATGAGTTCGATTCCCGGTACGGAAAAACAAACAAAAAAATAAAAATAAAAATAAAAATAAAAATAAAAAATAAATAAAAGCCAATTCTTTAAGATTTTCACTGCACTGTGAAACCTTATCACACCTTAGAGATTTTTTCTGCAGAACAATATACTTGAAACTAGATAATTTACAACAAGTAGAAATTTATTCCTTAGGATTCTGGAGGCTGGGAAGCCCAAGATCAAGAGACCAGCGTCTGGAAAGGCCTTTTATGCATTATCCCATGGCGGAAGGTAGAAAGGCAACAAAGTGAGAGAGAGCACACAAAATGAATAAGTGCAATGTTTATCAAATATTAACTGCCTACTATATGTGCAACGCTGAATGCGTTATTAATAGTGCTGAAACAACTCTGCAACATAGTTTATTACCTTAATTTCTCTAGTGTAGAAACAGGATCAGGCATGGAGTCGATTTATTTGTCCAAGGTACAAATGGCTACTAAGTGACAAAAAGCTTGAACCTAGATCTATGTGACTTCAAAAGTTTGCTCTTTCTACTAATAATACTGTTTTTCGTAGGGAACATAACAAGATTATGAGTGAATAGCCCTTTCAGTGGGCCACATGACCTAGAAGTGAGGCTTTTTCACAAAAAAACACAATTTAAACAAATAGCAAAACCTTGGTAGCCCTGGAGTGCAAAGCAGGAAGAAAGTACAGTACAAGTAAGAGTAGCTGCTGCAATATTTAAAGCCAGTGAATATAGACATATTATCAAATATATTGCTTTAAAATCTTGTAATACTACGGTAGCCACCCATGGAGTCACTCTCGTATTCTAAAGTGGGACAGGCTGAGTCAAGAGGAGGACAAGCAGTGCTTCTTAAACTTCCTAGCACCATTGATATGGATTTTGATATATTTTGATATAATATCCTCTTCTGTGTAATGTATTTATCATAGCTAGATCTTGAGTCTGCAATTCCACACTTGTCGGATGATTTGCATAACAAAGCAAGGCAAACTTCTGAATTTCAGTCCTGTTCCACAATATATGGCCCTGTAACATGTTTTCTAGGCCTGAGTCGTTGTACCTAAGTCTTATTTTTACTTTATCTTACAGATGAAAAGATTAAGCTGAATACGATGATGAAAGATGTAGAATTATTTACAGGTGAGTGGAAAGTTATAGGAAAAATTATTGCAAATAACAATATTCTAAGGCTTTTACTGTTATTCTTTTTAATGTTCTATTTCCATCACACTGACATTGACTTAATAATCTTCTGGTATATGAACAATATTTTACCCAGTGATCCAGGCTATTACATACTTTTTAACAAAACTACTAAGTTTGTATAGTACCCTGTATTCTCTAAACTTTTTTGTCAATAATACATATCACTTTTCCATTGTTTAAACAGCCAGAAGTCTAGGTTACCACAGTAATTGGTAAAATAATACATTCAAGAAGTATTTTTCTCTTCTCAAACTAAGAAACTGAGTTCTATTTCTGATATACCCATAAGAATTTTGTTCAGCATTTGAACCATTTAATCCTGGAATTAAGCTCAGATGAGATTCATAGTTTTAAAATCTTTCCTTGCTCTTAAATATTTCATCATTCCTTATTTTTATCTTTTCAAAGGAACCAAGACTAATGTTAATGAGATAGATGCTGTTTTGAAAAGCATGGGAATAGAGCTCACTCCTAAGGAACGCTGGGAGCTGCTAAAGACTCTGCCGGTTACTGGTGAGCATTTCTGATGCAGCTTTGGCCTTCAAGGGGACTTAGTTCAGGTGTACGCATGAGGGAGCTGGGTAACTAGGGAATCATTAAACATTATTTCTACATTCATGGGGAAGCTGGGGAGTTATTAAACATTTATTTCATAATTATTTATATTACTTTTTAGCTGATGAAATTAAAGATAAGTCTTTGCCTTTATAGAGACTATTGTAGACTTTGTAGAGACTATTGTATCTTACTGTGCTGGGATTGTGTTTGAGAACTTTTTCAGTGAATAAATGAAGAAAATAAGAAACTAAGAAAATTACACCAAAAAAAAAAAATTTCATTAATGAAGGAATATTTGGCTTAAGTTTTTTTAATTTAACATGTTACCTGGAGAGTGTCTGACAGTCCTAAATTATAAAAAGAAAGAAAAGGGGACTAGAAGTCAGGTAATAACAGCAGGATAAAAAGAATTGAGTCAGAAGGGTAGAAAAGTGTAGGATTTTAAAGTGGATAAAGTTAAAACTTACTCTACTTTTTCACCTTATTATTAAAGCTAAAAAAGACATATTTTCTTTATGTATTAATAGCTTAATTAAATGGAATCAAAGATTTTATATGAAAGTGAGTTTATGTTCCCACTTTACTATTAAATTAGCGTGAAAGTTTACCATGAAAGTAAAGTGTTACCTCTTCTATTACTGATTTGCTCACACATATCAGAATTGTTTTATTAAATATTTTAATTTATAAAAAATAAAGCTAAGAAAGAAAAGGCTATTTGGATTAGAAATTGAATAATTATTAAAGCAAAAATCATGTAAGGTTATTATTTTATGAAGTACTAGTCTGTGCTCTTGCTATAACTTGCAGTGTCACTTTGTGACATTAATTCGATCTTCTGTTACAGCCGACGGAAAGGTGTATCACAATCGATTACTAAACGCTTTAAAGAATTTCCACAGTGAGTAACAGTCAGTCAAGTACAACTGAGATCTTTAAGCCTGTTTTTCTTTTGAAAAAACTTACTTACTTCATGATAACAATAGTTTATTTCTGTGAGGTGTACTTCCATGCACTATTCTGATTACATCTGTGTGTCAGTCAGCTTTCCTGTTGCTGGGGTAAAATACCTGACACAAGCTACAGGGGGAAAGGTGTGTAGTACTTTGGCTCCCCGTTTCAAAGCTTTCAGTCCGTGATCAGCTGCCTCCAAGGCAGAAACATCACGGCAGAAGGGTGTGGCGGAGGAAAACTGCCCAACTCATGGCACATGGGAAGACAGAGCAGGGGAAGAGGGCCAGGGAGGAAAGGGCCAGGGAGCAGATACAGTCCAAGGTCACAGCCCCACGGCCCTCCCATACACAGGCAGGAGTGCGCTTTCTTAGCAATCTCCTAGGCCTCTCTCAAGCCAGTTAAGTTGATAATAAAGGTTAACCATCACAATCTATTAACCTACTTAATTCTAACAGAAATACTATAAAGTGAGTATTCTCATTATCACAGTTTCACAGATGAGAGATGGTTTATTCACTTGCCTGAAATCACATAGTTTGAACTTGAGAAGACTCGGGACTTGAACTCACATTGTTAACCACTGTGGGCACTAAATAGTTGATTAACCTTTTAAATCCCCATTTACGACTTTTAGCTCACACTCAGGCAATCACTAAATTAATGGTGGAGCTAATTTACTGTTACATGCTTCAAACTTGGTAGCCATAATCATGGCTATTGTTTCTGATATTCTGTTGTTCACGGTGTTGTTCAGTGTCTCTCCACTCTGAATAATACACCTTATTCATTTGATTTGCGTCAGATGTCCACTAAAATTCTTAGCAGCATATCTTGTAAAATGTATAAAAAGATATTCTTTTCCTCACATGCTCATCCTGTCCCCCGCCATCTTGGTTTTATGTTTTTAATGTTCGCCTTGCAATTTGGCTTGTCATCTTCTTCCTTGGGTTGGGCACATATCACTTTTTAAATTTTAAACATAATTTTGTGTTTTTTTCTTATTTTATCAATTTCTTTCTTAAGGAGGGAAGGCTTTTGAAAATAAACTTGAAACTATTCTGGAAAACATGAACTATGAACTTGGAGAAAAAGAAATGAAAGATTTACAGAACCACTTGAAAACTGATGGTGAATACTTTACAACTTTCTTTCAAAAGAGTTTTGAAACCTTGTAGAACCTCTAGACACATTCTTGTTCAATTTCACTTAGTATGTAAGAGAAGTTCTTGTAAAGTTATAATTCTCAAGGATGAAAATACAACTCCTGATTATTAATGTTAGGACTAGGCGACTGGTAGGGGGACTGATAGACTTCAATTTAGCTGGGGAAAAACGAATAGTTCAGAGGAAAATAATGGAAGTTATTGAGATAGATTTTGGAGAAGGTCAGAGATTGGCAAACCAAGTGAGAAGGTAAAACATTTTGTAATTGTTTGACAAGTAATGTACCAATACGGAAAACTGTGTCTTCGTTGAACAACTATGAGATGAATTTCAGATGGGGTTGAAATAGAGGGTCAATGATTTTTAATTAAAGCCCTTCATATAGTACCAAAGAGATATATTTTAGATTAAAATGATTATTTAGGAGAAGACTATAGGTCTAATTTAGCATGTTAAAACCTCCTCTTTAGAATCCTATAATATAGGTATAATTGGACATAAGAAAAACATTCAAAAATCAACAAATGTTCTTTGTAAAATTGATGACGATTTAGAAACCTTCACAGAAAAAAAAAGATCCTTTTCCTGGTAGCAAGAAAAATTTTCTCTATATCTGATTTACGCCTTGCATTTCAGATAAAGGAAGAGTTTCCCTGAATTCTTTGATAAATGCAGCCAATTTGTTTTCTGGTAAGTGAGCAGTAATGATGAAAAGATATAAAATCAAGATCCTTTGTTGTGTGTACATATTTCTGTTATATATCCTAGTATTCCATAAATGACATGCTAGATTTATTTTACCAATATACTGATGACATGTTTGCTTTTAAGATCATACATGATTTCTTACCACCTACTTTTTAGAAGTATTAGGGGTTTTTTTAGGTTCTTTGTTTTGTTTTGGGGGCAGTTTGTTTTGTTTGTTTGTTTGTTTGTTTGTTTGTTTTGAGACAGGGTCTCCTTATGTACTTCAGCCTGGGCTTAAACTCACTGTGGAGCCCAGGTTGCCCTCAAACACAGCAATCCTCCTGCCTCAGCCTCCCAACTACTGAGATTATGGGCATGTGCCACCATGCCCAGCTAGTATCAGTTTTTTAAGGATGTGTCCTTAGACTGGCATCGTGTTGCACACCTATAATTCCAGCACTTGGCAGGCTGAGGTAGGAGGATCTCAAGTTTGAGGCCAGCCTGCATACATACATTGTGAGCTCAAGGCAAGCCCACACTACAAAATGAGACTCTGTCTCAAAAAAAAAAAAAAAAAGTATTCTTTTACAAGCTGCATGGCTTGTCACCACTTAAAACTAAAAGTATTCTTTTGACCAATCTTAAAGGAAAAATGTTTTTTAGTTCTTTGTGATGCTTCACAGCCTCACGAGGCTAGATAAGCCTCATGGTGTCCTTGTTTTTCTGTAATGGTATCTTTACAGTTGTTTTTTGTTTTGTTTTGTTTTTGTTTTTTAGTACTGAGGATTGAAATAAGGCCCTGCACATGCTAGGCAAGCACTCTACACCCCGGGGGCCAGTTGTTTTTTAGTTTTAGTTTTACCTTTAGTCTTAGTCTTAGTCTTAGTCTTAGTTAAGCTCTCACTAAGTTGCCCAGGCTGACCTTCAAACTGTAGTCCCTCCGCCTCAGCCTCCCAAGTAGCTGGAATCACAGGCCTGTGCCACTACATCTGTCTATTATTTGCTTAAAGTAGAATCATCATGTTGTGTATGAAAATGTTCACTTACCGGGTTTTCCATCTTTTTAAAGGTAATAAGATTAATGCCAGTGACACACAACTTTACCTGAAAAATATAGGTATTGAATTAACAAATAATGAAAACCAGGAACTACTAGACACACTGCCACTGGATGGTAAGCGTTCAGACACTGCAGTCAATTTCACAGAAACCTGGGCTTAGGAATTGTGTGCATAAAAATTCTACAAGTACTGTATGCTTGTTCAACATTCTAGTAAATGAGAAAAGTAAGAAAGTTTAGCACCTCCATGCCTCGGGCTAACATCAGTTCTAGGCCATCCTACTGAAAACCTGAAAGAGCCATTTCTGGTATAAAATATCCTGTCCTTACCATTATATCTAAAATTGGGGTCGGTGCTTTCTTTTGAATTCTGCTATTATGGATAAGCAATTTTAAATATCAATCCCAACATTTACAGCAAGACTAAAGCTAAAGACAGAAAAAGTGATAATCAGAAGATTTGTAGAAAGGAACAAATGTATACCCCATGGAGGGAAAAACTATGTTTCTTTTTTTTTTTTTTTTTTTTTGGTTTTTCTCCGGTACTGGGAACTGAACTCACGACCTTGCGCATGCCAGGCAGGCGCTTTTGCCACTGAGCTAAATCCCCAGCCTAAAAAACTATGTTTCAACATGCTAGAGCACCAGTGGTGGTACTTCAGAGGCCAGAGAAAAAATAGTTAAACTTGAAAAAATGTATTAATTTTCTTGCTTCCATTTTTGGATTGGAATTAAGAAAATTTACTAAAATTTACAAATAACTAAACATTGTTTTTCTAAACTTCCAGTTATTGGTGAATGAAAATGATGTTTATGTTACAGATAATAAAAGAGTGTATGCAAACAGACTGATGGAGGGGGTGAAGACCTATGGAGGTGAGTGAAAAGCATGCTGGGAAATAAAACAGATCTTGAAAGTTTTGTTTGTTTGTTAGTTTGTTTTTTTCCGGTAAAGTTTTGCCTTTGTCCAAAAATCTCTCATTTCTTAATGAGCACATCACTAACCGTTATTGTATTCTTTAAATTGTGAGTTAGTATTCTTTTTTTTTTTTTTTTTTTTTTGGTTTTTCTCTGATACCGGGAACCGAACTCACGACCTTGCGCTTGCCAGGCAGGCGCTTTGCCGCTGAGCTAAATCCCCAGCTCGTGAGTTAGTATTCTTATTTGTCTACGTGAGGCGTAATAGCCTACCTGACTGTGTTGCTGTAGCGTTTTAGATTGTACCTACTGACAAGAAATGTTTGAAATTGGAAGACAACAATATGTGATACAAGAACCACTGGTGAATTCTTACCATTTTGTTTAGTGAAGCTCCGTATCATTTCTAATTTTTTTAAATTATTTTTTATTCTCTTTCATGGCTTGATCAATCTTGCATTCTTACATCTGGTAATCTGAGCAACGTCGCTGCAGATACCAATATGTAATGTAACAACCACCGTTGATTCCTATCATTTTGTTTGCAAACCCTGCATCATTTTTATTGTTTTTGCTCTGTTCTGCTTTTATCTATATTGTTGTTATTTTGTTATTGTTTGTTTTTATTCTCTTTAAAATAAAACAAAAAGAAATGTTGGGTAAGTTGTCACCTGCTCTAACTTCTGCTTAGTTTGACCTGTTCATTCTTCTGCTCACCTCATCCTAGACATTGCTCCAAAACTCTTCTGAGACCTACAACATTGATGAGGAAGAATTTTTCTCTTTCTAACCCCCAACTGATTACTTTGTTTACTTCAAGAACTTTATGGTGCTGTTGCTTTTTATCTCTTTATGTCCAGTGATTGACATGAGCAAGTATTTTTTACACTTTGACACAAATTTATTTTATTATCCCCTTTCTTTTTAAGGAGGACAGGTCAATGTCAATAAAATAGATGATACTCTTGAAAACATGGGATTTTCACTTGAAGAAAAAGAAATTGAGGAATTGTATAGTCACCTTCCAATTAATGGTGAGCATTTCAGATATACAGCAGGCAGTAAGAAAACTTTAATTCTCAATGGAAAATGTTTATTTTTCAATGAAAACATCTCAAGTATACTTGTTAATTTTCATGCAGAAATTCAGAAGCATGTAAGGAACTAATCCTAAAGAATGGGAAAAATTAATCTTAATATTAACCATAAAATTTATATTAATATAAATTTTATTATATAAATATTATTATAATTTCTGTTATAATAATTATCTTAATATTAACCATAGATTAAATACCAAGAATTATTTATAATTCTGGTATCAGAGTTCTTGTGCCAGAGAACACAAAAATGAGAGTATGATCAATGTTGAGATCAAGTGGAAATAAAATTTTAAGGAATATCTGAAGAGAGGGAGGAGAAATTATGAAATAATTTGGACAGCAATAGAAAGAGGAAAACGTGGTAGAAATTGTTGAATGTTGTTTGTAGCACTGAAGCACAGGCAAGTATATTCTTAAATACATAGTAATAAATTCGTAGGTCTCAGACTTTAGATCTATCAGGATAACCCAGTGCCTCAAGACTGAGATCAAGTAGATCTGGAATGGAGTTCATGGATTTTCATTTTAAATAAGCAACCCCCTACAGTTAATTTTTTTCAGTGTATAATAGAGAAAATATACTGGTATATTTATTTGGGATTAGTAGTTTTACATAAGCTCTAGCAGAAGGAACTGACCGAAACATTCTGTTTATCCATTAGCATCTTTAGCATCTTATTATCCTTAGCATCGTGGGATAATGTGCTAGATTTATTTGTAGTTTGACAGACATCCTAGAGGTACTAAGCTACCTAAGCTTATCTAATATGGTCTGATCATGCTTCAAATCACAATACTTTCTACTAGCCAAAAAATGGTCTCCTATATCTTGACCAATCTTGAATTCTTTTTTCATGGCTCTGTGTAACATGTGAAACAAGCAACATAATGTAAACATGACCCTATTGTAAATTATCTAGAGAGCAATATCTCAAAATAAATATTACTAGGGTTTACCTCTGCTCTGTGAAGGTTAACAAAAGCCGAGTTTCAAAAATACAGTGAAGAAATGAAGATATAGAAATAAACCAAATAAGCCAGGCATGGTGGCACACACCTGTAATCCAAGCACTCAGGAGGCTGAGGCAGGAGGGTCATTGGCAGTTCAAGGCCAGCCTGAACTGCATAGAGAAACCCTGTCTCAAAAAGACAATAAATAAATAAATACATACATACATACATACATACATAAATACATAAATAAACCAAATAGATTTAAAGAACAGCTAGAGAGATATTTAAAATATTTTAAATAATTTGGAGGAAGTAACTATCTTATTTCAGTAAAGAACCCTAATATTGGGTGTGAAATTGTTTGTAACACACTGATGGTTTTGACATTAGTGATAGCAGCCTCAGAAGCAGAGTCTACTCGTTGTTTGCTATTGTGTCCCCAACACTGAAAATAGACACCCAACAAATATTTGATGAATTAAAAATGAAAATAATTTTTTCTCTTCCACACTAGTAAAGAATGAAAAACAGAAAAAATGAATATATTAAACGTGTTTAGTATATTTAGATTCCATTGCTTTTCCCAACTCTATGTTTACATAGAGAAAAAGGAAAATGTATAATTAGAAAAAAATTACAGGCAACTGTTAAATCCAAAAGACATTACTTCACAATTTAATAGTTGTATGTGACTAGGAATTGTATCAGTCCACTCCAGTTACTGTAACAAAATACCATGGACATAATTTGGCCCTCCAATATATTTTTCTCTATTATACACTTAAAAAAATTAACTGTAGGGGTTGCTTATTTAAAGTGAAAATTCATAAACTCCATTCCAGATTACTTGCTCTCAGTCTTGAGAGACTGGGTTATTCTTATAGATCTAAAGTCTGAGACCTATGAATTTATTACTATATGTTTAAGATTATAATTGTGTGTACTTCAGTGCTACAAATAACATTTAACAATTTCTACCACGTTTTCCTCTTTTCATTGCTGTCTAAATTCTTCATAGTTTTCTCCTCCCTCTCTTCAAACATTCCTTAAATTTTTTTTCCTACTTGATCTCAACACTGACCATAGAAGTTTGCTTTCTCACTGTCCAGGAATCTGGGAAGCCTGAGATCAAGGGTTTGGGAGATTCTGTTTCTGGCAGAGCCCACTTCCTGGCTTAGAGACAGTGGCTTTTTGACTGTGTCTTCACTTGGGCGGGCAGAAATGGGAGGAGAGAGAGCTTCCTCACTTTTTAAGACCACAGTTTTATTATATCAGGTTCCAACCGCTATGATTTTATTTAACTTCGATTACCTTCTAAAGACTCTGTTTCGAAATATAGTAACTTGGGGAATTAAGGATTCAACATATGAATTTTGGAGGACATAATTTGGTCCATAGCAAGATCGTATATAAATTGTTTATTGTCTTACAGATGAAGGAAAAATTCAACTGAAATCACTTCTGGATGAAGCAAATAAAATTTTAGGTAAGTGACAAGAAATGACAAGAAAGCAAAATAAAAATGATCTATTAATACATAATTGAAAAGCTATTTTTAAAAGTATTTTCCATTTTTCTGTCCATAACATCTTCTATCCTTATATCTATTTTATTGGCAACCTATATACAACTAAAGAGACATACATTATAAAGTACATGTTACTCATCAGTATAATTAATTGTACTTATATTTTTAAAGGTTGTATTATATAAAAAATAAGCCCTATATTCTCGTTTTGTTTTGTTTTTGTTTTTCTCTGGTACCAGGAACCGAACTCACGACCTTGCGCTTGCCAGGCAGGCGCTTTGCCGCTGAGCTAAATCCCCAGCCCCTAGCCCTATATTCTCTAGACTTTTTCAGTAGTGTCTTTTTCTACTGTCTTAATAGCAAAATGGCAAGGCCAATTGCACATGTGACATTTATAAACAAGGTCATAATTCATTTAAAAAAGAAATAGAACAAATAATACACTCATTGAATTACATGAACTCATTTAGGGATCTGCTACAGAAATACCAACGTTCTGTGTGCTTATTGGTTTCTTATTCCCAAAGTTGAAGAGACCCTTTTATCAGAAAGAAGTTCTACATATTTCTGAATGCCACTTCAAATTCTACGTAGGCAAAACTCAGTGTTTCTGTTGCTTTTTATCATATATATAAAGATGATGCTACATAGACACAGATGGTTTCATTACTATTTAAACTTGGAATCTGATCAATTACCATTATTTTCTTTTGTAAGGAGAAGAAATTGACCGTGGTGACCTGGAAAATGTTCTGCAAAGCATAGGCTTAAGTCCCCACCTGAAGGAAAACTCTGTGCTGATGAAGACTTTGCCACTTGACGGTTAGCATTTAATTTACACATTACATTTAGTTATCCAGTGAAAGCTGACTAATTACCATTAGGTAACAGATATTTTTCTAGGCTCTGCATCACAAAGCTGACTAAGACAATGTCGAGGTGCTAAAATAACTCAGTGTATTGATGGCTGTCACAATCAAAAAATGGCGTACACTGGGATAAGTGCCACAATGTTAATAAATATGCACTGCTATGAAGTATAAAGGAGAGACTGACCAACTACGCCAGACTCCAACGCTTTACAGAATGAATATTATTTCAAATGAGCCTGAAACCTTTGACAACTGAAAAAAACGAAAATAAAAAGTATGAAAAAGATGCAGAGGTATACCTCACCATGCCAACCATGGGGAACTATGTATAATCTCTTGTTAATATGCTATAAAGTACACAGTGATATTCATAATATCTAGTAAAATATTTTATTAGTTTGGCTCAATTTAATCAGTAATTTGGTTATAATATGTGGAATGATGATGGTAAGTATTAAACAAAATATAACTGAATCTGATTCTGGCAAATAGAAGGGGGACAGCGAGAGGAGAAAAAATAAAAAGAATTGAGATGTGTTATTTATATGTACCAATTCCCCACGATGAGTGTAATCGTTATGAAATGCAAACAACCACTAGTGAATTTTTTTTAATTATTTAAAAGGAAAAATGGATTAAACAAAATAATGGCTGTGAAATCTTTTAAATTTCTTTAGATATTAAAATAAAACAAAAGTGTAATCACTTTATTTTAATGAATAAACATTCAATTGTAGCTATTAAATAATTTCTATTCTAATGGATTTTGCATGATGTAGCATATATGAAACTATCTGCCAGAGTGTTATTGTTCAAAATAAAACCAGGGCCTTGACATTCAAAATGTTCACAGTCTAGTTAAATAAGCAAAAACACACATCCTTTATATGGAAAATATAACACAAAAATTCATAACAAAATAATAGAATAACTAGTTAATATACTGCATATTGTTCTCTTCAGAGTAGTTACTCAGAGTACAAGAAATGGGTATAAAAAGTTCTCCAAACAATATTAGCACAGACCTTTCTTGTCAATGAGCTAAGAGAAATTAGTAGTATAACTATCTTCTATTTTTTTCCTTTTCCCTTTCTTCCCTTCCCCTTCCCTTGCCCTAGTTCCTCTTTCCTTTTGTACAATATTTTCCCATTTCAAAATATCTATTGTACATTTTAGAACTTATTTACTCTCAGTTTCTCAAACCAGGAGGACAATATGATGTTTACACATGTGATTCTGATTTATTTTACTTATGACTATGGTCTCAAATTGCATTCATTTACCTAAAAATGTCTCAAATTTATCCTTTTTATGGCTGAGTAGTACTCCATTGTATGAAAAGACCACATCTTTTTATCCGTTCCTCATTTAATGGGCATTTGGGTAGTTTCCAAGATTTAGCTACTACAAATTGCACTGCTGTAAACATGGATACACATATATCGCTGTGGTAGGATGCCTTTAATATTTTTGAGAAGATACCAGGAAGGAAAATAGCTGCATCAAATGGAACCTCTAATCCAAATTTTTTGCAGAACCTCCAAACTGATTTCCACAATAGTTGTGCCAGTCTAGACTCCCACCAACAGTGTGGAAGGATTCCTTTTTCACCACGATCCCTCAAGCATTTGTTATTGGTTGATTTCTTGAGGATAGCCATTCTTTCTGGAGTGAGTTGGAATCTCACCATTGTTTTAACTTGCATCTCTCAAATGACCAATGATGTTCAACATTTTTTCATATATTTATTTGCCATTTGCATTTCTACATCTGATAAGTGTGTATTCATCTGAGATGCCCATTTTTGAATTAGGTCTTTGACTTTGGGGTTCTGGTACTTTTCTGTTCTTTATATGTTCTAGATAGAAGTCTTTTGTCTGAGAGAGAACTGGCTAACTTTTTTCCCACTCTGTGGGTTGTCTTTTCACTCTGTTGGTGATTTCTTTTGCTGTGCAAAAGCTTTTTAATAAGATGAAACCCCAGTTGTTGATGCTTCATAGTATTTCCCATGTGATCTGGGTTTTATTCTAAATTCTCTACTTACATCTATATCTTCAAGATTTCTACCTATTTTTTCTTCCAGCAGATTTAGTTTATTGTACATAGAAGATCTAAAAAAAACTCCACCAGAAGACTTCTAGATTTAATAAACAAATTCAGTAATACAGCTGGATACAAAATCACCACTCAAAAATCAATAGCATTCCTATACACAAACAACAAACTCACTGAGAGAGAAATTAGGGAAACCATACCCTTCATAATAGCATCCAAAAAAATGAAATACTTAGGAATCAATCAAACATAGTACATTAAAGATCTATGCATTGAAAATTACACTACTCTGAAAAAGGAGATCAAAGAGGATATCAGAAAATGGAAAGACATCCATTGCTCAGGAATAGGAAGAAACAGCATAAGGAAAAGGCCATACCCCCAAAATTATTATACAGATTTAGTGCAATCCCAATCAAAATACTATTGGCATATCTCACAGAATTAGAGAAAACATTCCTAAAATTCAAGAGACCTAGAAGAGCAAAAGCAATTCCTGGCACCAAAGGCAAGGCAGGATGCATTAAAATCCCTGATTTGAAAATATACTACAAAGCTATTGTGACAAAATCAGCATGATATTGGCAAAAAAACAGACCTGAGGATCATTGAAACAGATTAGAAGATGTAGACACAACTACAAACACATTCAGTCACCTTATCTTTGACAAAAGGACCAAATATGTTCACTGGAAGAAAGATATCCTCTTTAATAAGTGGTGTTGGAAAAACTGGCTTTCCACCTGCTGAAGACTAAAATTAGACCAATGTCTATCACCATGTACTACACTATAATCAAAGTGGATCAATGATCTAAATATTACAACAGAAACACATCTTAACCAGGTGTGGTAGCACATACCTGTAACCCCAGTCCTTGGGAGTTTGAGGCAGGAAGATCCCTGCAAGTTCAAGGCCATCCTGGGCTACAAAGTGAGTTCAAGACCAGCCTGAACTTTGTAGTGAAATCCTGTTTCAAAAAGACAAAAAATAACCCCACATGTCTTAAGCTGCTGGATAAACATTGCAAACTAAATACTTGCATTTTCATTGCTCCTGTCTAAAATAGTAAAAGGCTTTAAAGAGATGAAAAGAAATAAATAGAGATAATCATAAAGACCAAGAGAATAGGGGGAAACATGACAGCAGATAAAAGATGTCAATTAAATTTGATGCAAGACCTAATAAGGATGAAAACTGAGTCTGAAAAAGAGGGTAAGCTAACAAAAAGAAAGGCCACTTCACATCACAAAATTCAAAGGCTCAGGCAGTAGAAGCACCATATAACTCTAAAGTCAGGCATGCATGGTATCTGAGTAAAACTAGAATGATTTGTAGAAAGTCATTTAAGAGAACAATTTGATCCATAGACACCCCTCCTCCCTCCACTAAGAAAAATTAAATACTTAGGAATTAACCTAACTAAGGAAGTAAAAGACCTCTAGAATTTGAAAAGTTCACTCTAAAAAAAAGGAAATTGAAGAGGAAATCAGAAAATGGAGCAATACCCCCTGTTCCTGCATAGGCAAAATCAATATAGTCAAAATAACCATAATTCCCAAACTGCCACACAAATTTAGCACAATTCCAAACAAAACTACAGCAGCATTCTTCACAGAACTGGAGAAGAGTATCCTAAAATTCATATAGAAGTAGAAGAGACTCAAAAGCAACCTGAGTAAAAAAAGCAAAGCAAGAAGTATCAGTGTCCCAGGCCTGAAGATGTATTACAAAGAACTGTGACTAAAAAACAGACACAAGGATCAGTGGAGCAGAAGAGAGGGTGTAGAAACATCCCCAGGTACATTCAATCAGCTGATCTTTGACAAAGGGGCCCAAAACACACAGTGTAGGAAAGATAACCTCTTTAATAAATGGTGTTGGGGAAACTGACTATCCACATGCAGATAATTGAATCTACACCCATATTTCTCACCATGTACTAAACTAAAATCAGAATGGATCAAAGAAGTAAATGTTACACTAGAAACACTTCATCTGCTATAAGATTAATAACATAACTTAAA